TCATTTTATGAAGCCAGCATCACCCTAATACCAAAACCAGAAAGTGACATAACCAAAAAAGAAAACTACAGACCAATATCCTTGATGAACACTCATGCTAAAATCCTTACTTAAAAAAATACTAGCTAACCAAATCCAACAACATACTAAAAGGATAATCCACCATGATCAAGTGGGTTCCATACCAGGGATGCAGGGATGGTTTAACATATGCAAGTCAATAAGTGGGATACACCACATAAACACAATTAAAAACACAATCACATGATCATCTCAACAGATGCAGAAAAAGTACTCAACAAAATCCAGCATCGCTTTATGATTAAAACTGTCAGCAAAATCGGCATACATGGGACATACCTTAATGTAATGAAAGCCATTTATGACAAAGGCACAGCCAACATAATACTGAATGTGGAAATGTTGAAAGTAATCCCTCCGAGAACTGGAAGAAGACAAGGATGCTCACTCTCACCACTCCTCTTCATTATAGCATTGGAAGTCCTAGCCAGAGCAATCAGACAATAGAAAGAAATAAAAGGCATCCAAATCAGTAAAGAGGAAGTAAAACTGTCACTGCTGATGATATGATCGTTTACCTTGAAAACCCTAAGGACTCCTCCTTAGGAGCAAAGCTCCTAGAACTGACGAAATAATTCAACAAAGTTTCCGGATACAAGATTAATGTATACAAATCAGTAGCTTTCTATACACCAACAGCAACCAAATCAAGAACTCAACCCCTTTTACAACAGCTGCAAAAGAAATAAAATACTTAGGAATACACCTAACCAAGGAGTCGAAAGACTTCTACAAGAAAAACTACAAAACACCACTGAAAGAAAGAGACGACACAAATGGAAACACATCCCTACTGTGATTTTTGAGGGGTGTTGAAGAGCCTTGTTTTGGCATATTAACAGGGTTGGTTTTCTGGTTCCTTCTCATTGGGTAGGCTCTGTCAGAGGAAGATCCAAGGCTGAAGACTGTTGTTTGAATCCTTTTGTCCCATGGGATATTCCGTTGATATAGTACTCTCCCCTCTTTTCCTATGGATGTGTCTTCCTGTGAGCCTAACTGCGGTGATTGTTGTCTGTCTTCCAGGTCTAGCCACCTAGCAAGTCTACCCAGCTCCGGGTTGGTACTGGGGGTTGTCTGTACAGAGTCCTGTGATGTGAACCATCTATGGATCTCTCAAATACACATTCTTTTCAAGTGCACATGAAACATTCTAAAGGATAGATCATATCTTAGACCACAAAACAAGTCTAAAAAATTTAAGAAGACTAAAATCATATCACGTATCTTTTCTGTCCACAATTATATGAACCCGAAATGAATAACAAGAAAAAAAACTGGAAAATTCACTAATATCTGGAAATTAAACAACATACTCCTGAACAACCAATGGGTCAAAGAAGAAATCAAAAGAAAAATAAAGAAAATCTTAAAACAAATGAAAACAGAAACACAACATACCAAAACTTTGATATAGCAAAAGCAGTTCTACAAGGAAAGTTTATAGCAATAAATACCTACATTAAGAAAAAAAGAAATATCTCAAATGAACAACCTAATTTTACACAACAAATAGAAAAAAAAACAAATTAAGCCCAGAGTTAGCAGAAGGAAGGAAATACTAAAGATCAGAGCAGAAATAAATGAAATGGAGACTAGAAAAAATAATTTAAAAGATCAATATAAGAAATAATATAAAAAGATCAATATAAGTTGTTTTTTCAAAAGATAAGCAAAATTGACAAACCTTTGCCTAGACTACTATGAAAAAAAGAAAGAAGATTCAAATAAATAAAATCAGAAATGAAACAGGAGACACTACAATTGATACCACAAAAATACAATCATAAGAGATTAATGAACAACTACATGGCAACAATTTGGCCAACCAAGAAGAAAGAAATAAATTCCTAGAAACATACAACCTACCAAAAATGAATCATAAAGAAAATCTGAATAGGTCAATCAATGAGTGAGGGGAATAGATCAATAATCAAAAAGCTCCCTAACAAAGAAAACTCCAAGACCCAAGAAGTTATGCTTCTCAAGCATTAGCATCACTTTTTCTTTAAATGTTTCATAGAATTCACCAAACTTCCAATAAACTGAAGAGAAAGGAACACTTCCAAACTCACTTTATGAGGTCAGCATTAATGTGATACAAGAATGCTGTAAGAATAGAAGATTACAGGCCAATATCCCTGGCGAACATAGATGGAAATATCCTCAACAAAATATTTGCAAACCAAATTCAATAGCACATTAAAAGGATCATACACCATAATCCAATGAGATTCATCCCTAGGATGCAAGGCTGCTGGTTGGACATATGCAAATCAATCAACATGATATGCCACCTTAAAAGGACAAAGAATAAAAATCATATAATCATATCAATAGATGCAGAAAAAGCATTTGACAAAATTCAACATCCTTTCATGACAGAAACTCTCAATACATTAGAAAAAATGTACCTCAACATCATAACACTATATATGACAAGCTCACAGCTAATATCATACCCAACAATGAAAAGCTAAAAACTTGTCCTCTAAGATGAAGAGCAAGACAAAATGCTCACTCTCACCATTTGTATATTATAGTACTGAAAGTTGTAGCCAGGGAAATTAGGCAAGAAAAAGAAATAAAATGCATCCAAATTGAAAAAGAAAAAAAAAATTGTCTGTTTGCAGATGACATAATCTTATATAAAGGAAACCCTAAATATTCCACCAAAAAAAAAATTAAAACCAATAAATGAATTCAGTAAATTGGCAGGATACAAAATCGACAACAACAAAAGTCAGTAGCATTTCTATACTCTAACAACTATCCAAAAAATTAAAAAAAGAAAATCCCATTTACAATAGTACTTTTTAAATATATAGAAAAAACTTAACCAAGACAGTGAAGGACCTGTACGCTGAAAACTATAAAATACTGATGAAATAAATAGAAGACACAAATACATAGAATAATGTCTAATGTTCATGAATTTAAAAAAATAACACTATTAAAATATCCATACTACCCAAAATTGTCTACAGATTTAACGTAACCCCTACCAAAATTCCAATGGCACTTTTCCCTAAAATATGAAAAACAACCCTAAAATTCATAAGGAAACATAGAAGTCACCACATAGTCAAAGTAATCTCAAGCAAAAAAAAAAAAAAAAAAAGCTGTACGCATCACACTATCTGATTTTAAAATATACTACAAAGCTATGATAATCAAGACAGCATGACACTGGCATAAAAACAGACATACAAGTAAATGAAACAGAATAGGGCGCCCAGAAATAAATCCATGCATGTAAAATCAATTGATCTACAAAGGTACTGAAGAACACACAATGATGAAAGTACAATCTCTTTAAAAAATGGTGTCAGGAAAACTGTATATCCACATGATATCCACATGATAAACTGTATATCCACATATGAAACTGGCCCGTCTTCTCACACCACATACAAAAAATCAGCTCAAAATGGATTAAATATTTAAACATAATACCTAAAACTGTAAAACTACTAGAAGAAAACATAAGGAAAAGCTTTATGGCATGGGTCAGGGCAATGAATTTTTCGATACACTCCAAAAGCAGAGTCAAGAAAAGCAAAAATTGGCAGGACTGCATCAAACTAGAAAGCTCTGCACAACAAAGGAAACAGAGTAAAGAGACAACCTATGGAATGGGAGAAAACATGTGTGAACCATATATGAGATAAGAGGTTACTATCCAAAATACTAAAATACATATTAAGAAATTCAAACAACTCAAAAGCAAAAAAAAACAAACAACCTGATTAAAAATGGGCAAAGGATCTGAGTAACATTTGTTAAAAGAAGACATACAAACGGCTAACTGGTATATGAAAATATGTTCAACACCACTAATCATCAGGGTAATGCAAATCAAAACTATAATGAGATATCCCCTCACATCTGTTAGGAAGGCCACTATCAAAAAGATGGAAGTAAGTGTTGCCAAGGATATGGAGAAAAAGAAACCCTTGTACACTGTTGGTGGGAATGTAAAGTGGTAAGGACATTATGGAAAACAGTTTGGTGGTTCCTCAAAATGTTAGGTTACCAAAAGATCCAACAATCCTACTACTGGGTACATAGCAAAAGGAAATGAAATATCTCAAAGGGATATCTGCACTCTCATGTTCACTGCAGCATTATTCACAACAGCCAAGATACGGAATCAATCTAAGTGTCCCACAACAGATGAACAGAGAAAGAAAATGTGGTATAATGGTATAAAGAAATGTGGCATAATGGAATATTATCTGGCCTTATAAAAAGAAGAAAATACTGTCACTTATAATAACATAGATGAATCTGAGGAATAGTGAAATAAGTTAAGGTACACAAAAAGACAAACGATCTTATTCATATGTGAAAAAAGCTAATTCCAAAAGGTCGTATACAGTACGATTCCATTTATATAAACTTTCTGAAATAAAAATTTAGAAATGAGGGGAGGAATGAGGTGGGTTTGATTATAAAAGACAACATGAGGGATCTTTGTGGTGACAGAACTACTCAGTATCCCGTGATGAATACACAAACCTTTTCATGAGATAAAACTGTCTAAAACTAAATAAACACACACACGCAAGTAAAACTGAAAAAATTTGAGTAAGATCAATGGATTGTATCAATAGGAGTATCCTGCTTGTAGTATTGTAACATAGTTTTTTGGGTGTTTTGTTTTTTGTTTTTGAGACAGGGTCTCACTCTGTCACCCAGGCTGAAGTGCAATGGCACAACCATGGCTCACTGCAGCCTCAACATTCCCCAGGGCTCAGATGATCCTCCCACCTCAGCGGCAGCTGGGACTACAGGTGTGCACCACCACACTCAACTAATTTTTGTACTTTTTGTAGAGATGGGGTTGTATCATGTTGCCCTAAATTTTTTTCAGAGTTTAATTCAAACAGTGTAGCTAGTGTGGGATACAAATTACTTACATTTGGGACATCAATTGCTATTTCCCTCATGGCACTGGGTCTGATGTCATTCATTGCCTGCAAGAAATCATTCAGAGTAATCTTCACCAGTCCAGCCACCTTGACATCAGGGAGGTTAGGCTGTTTTTTCAGGATTCTCCGCAAGGCACAGAGACCTACAAAGAGAGGAAAGTAACACAAGATTTGTCTTCTCCTTAATAAATACAGACTGAATTGATGGCTCGGGTGGCCCATCTGGAGTGGTCTCCGTGAAGACACTGGCTGCAGCGGGGGAGGCATGGCCAGGGCTGCGTACTCCATGAAGCCAGTGGGAGCTGGGAGCAGGCAGGAATCCTGCTCTTTTCCAAGTTGGTGGGGTGGGAGCCCCACTTACCCAGGCACAGCTGCAGCCACCCAGCCATGGCTGTGGACCCAGGTATCCCTCCACTCTCAAGAACCCAGGAAGTACCCCCTGCCCCAACAGGCTCCGAAGTGCCTGCTTCTACTGCCTGGTCTCTCCCTAATCCCAGAAAAACTTTTTGCCTGCTCTGATTTCAGACCAAAGTTAAGGCTGAGCCAAGCCACTGTCATGACCCACCTAGGTATTCATGTGCTCAAGGTGGCGCTGACACACCAGCTCCCTGCCACCTTGGTCCCCTCCAGACTTTGGGTGCCAATGAGCATGGGAGGGAGGCTAAGGGTGGCTCGGCGCAGTTCTGCAAGCGCCCCTCAGCACGAACAGTCCAGGCACCATGGACAACATGATTGATGGCAGCAGGAGGCAGAGAGGCTCTTGGGCAGAAAGGAGTGAGTCCCTGGTGAAGCCCCACCTTCAAGCCAGGGACACCCTGAAGCATGGAGGGCAGGCTGTCAGCACTGGGTAGAGTCTGTGGCCCAGAGCAAGAACTTATGGTGCTTTTTCTGGGTCTGCCTATGGACCAATCAGCATGCACTTCCTCCCCTCTGAAGCCCATAAAAACCCGACTCAGCCAGGACTGAGTCAGGACTACCAGCTCTGAGAAGGAGCTACCCACTCTGGGTCTCCTCTCCACTGAGAGCTAGACATTTGTTGGGACACCCTGCCTATGGAAAGGAGCCACCCACTCCAGCTCTCCTCTCTGCTGAGAGTTAGACACTCATTGGGACAACCTGCCTGCAGAAAGAAGCCACCCACTGCAGGTCTTCTCTCTGCTGACAGCTGGACACTCATCAGGCTGACCAGCCTGAGGATAGCAGCTACTCACTCTGGGTCTCCTCTCCACTGAGAAGTGGACACTAGTCAGGATGCCAGATAGGAGCTACCCATTCCGGGTCTCCTCTCCACTGAGAGCTGGACACACATTGGGACAACCTGCCTACACAAAGAAGCCACCGACTCTGGGTCTCCTCTCCACTGACAGCAGGACACTTGATTCAGGACGACCTACCTGCAGAAAGGAGCTACCCACTCCAGGTGTCCTCTCTGCTGAGAGCTAGACGTTTGTGAGGACGGCCTGCCTGTGGACAGGAGCTACCCACTCCAGGTATCCTCTCTGCTGAGAGCTGGACACTCCTCAGGACAACCTGATGGCAGAAGGACCTACCCACTTCGGGTCTCCTGAGAGCTGTTCTGTTGCTCAATGAAGCTCCTCTTTGCCCTGCTCACCCTCCAGCTGTCCACATACCTCATTCTTCCTGAAGGCTGGACAAGAACTCAGGACCTGCCAAATGGCAGGACTGAAAGAGCTATAACACAAACAGGACTGAAACAGGCCCACTGGTCACCACATTGCGGGTAACAAGAAGAAGAGGAGCTGTGGCCCTTTGGGGAGCTCAGAAGCAAGGGCTGTGATCAGAGCTGTGACACCAGAGCTGTGACACTCTCTTTGGGGCTCTGCTATTTCCAATATCTCCAAGCTTCCAGGTACCACCACGTTCCCTGGTGCCCACGGGGGAAAACACTTGTGGTACGCCTGGTCCAGCCACATCCTTACACAGAGCTGGCGACTGTGCCTGCACCTACAGCTGTCCACTCCATTGCAGCCAGCATGCCTGGCTGTGTGCAGTGGCCGGACCTCAGGCTCACTCACACCCTCTTCACAGCTCTGTGCCTGGCTCACCCTTGGCAGGTGTAGGATCCAGGCCAATAGCACAAGCCAAGTACAGCCTGCTGGGCCAAGTGGGCAGAAAAGCCCAGTGGGTCCGAGCAAAACTCAGGCAGAGGCGCCACCAGCCACAGAGGTTTCTGGCTGGAAAAGTGGCACCCTAAGGATCCTGTGACAGAATTATCACCAATAAAAATAATAAAAAACCCAAACCCCATGCAAGATTACAGCATTTAAAACATTTTGTCCTTGTAAGGGAGGGGATGAGAGGTGGGAAGGGAGGTGGAAGAATGTGAAGGATAAATGTAAAAATCCAAGCCCTTAGTTTTGTCAATGAAAATATGACAAATATTTAATATGAGAAAGCATAATTTACAAATATAAAATGAAATTTACAAAACAACATCCATAAAAAAAGCCATAAAGATTTATCAAAATAATTTGTTTGGGGAACTTCTTTTAAAAGAGTAAAATATTAAAATTAAAACATGCTTTTGCCCCTGCCCTTTTGGTAAATACATTCAAACTAGAATTACAAAGTTTTAAGGTATTGGGAAAACACCTTCAAGGAAACTTTCAGGTGGCAGTTGGAAATGTGATTTTGGAATACAAGAGCAAAGCAAACTTCAGAGTGATGTGCATACAGATAAGATGTGATATTATAGCAATGGAGAGATCTATAAGGGGAGGCTAGTGAGGGGGTCAGGGATGGAGGAATAAATGTAGAAGGCTCAATCTTAGCAAAGCCCATCAATTGAATAGCATAAAAAGAAATGATGGTTTTAAAAGGCAGAGGAAAAATAGGATGACATAGAATAAAAGGTATTAAAGCAGCCAGGAGGATAGTCAACAAAGTCAAATTTAGAGAGATCCAAAATAAATTCAAAGATATCATGCTGACTTGAGAAATTAGATACTAAGTTCCTTGTCTTTGCTATTTGCTTGAAGTTTAAACACTGACAAGAGTGAATGTTCCATTAGGTTGTGAGATTTAGAGCCCTTTGATCTGTGATAATCTTTAGTCTAGAAGACAGTAAGTCACTAGATGCTCTTTGTGTTAAGACTGTTTAATAAAATTTCAGTTTGAAGGAGTTTAATCTCAGAGATCTCTCAGAAACCCAGTCTGAATATCTGAAGTTGTCCTGGAACACCATCTAGCTTCCATGGTTTTTTAACCTTTCTTGTTCAAAACACTATGCCTCAATACAGTTTTACTAAATAAAAATGATACCACTCCATCATTCTGTTTTCACTTATTTGAACTTTTATATATAAACAGAAGCATTAATAAAAAGAAGACACAAAACTCCACAAAACAGAGGGCTGAGTATCTTTCACTACCAAGAAAAAGCAATGAATAGTACAAAGAAGCTCCAAAAATAGATCCCCTGCTTCCTAAAGCCAGCAAGTCACTTATTTAGGCCATCTTACAAATACCCACTTGCTTTTTCTGCCTTACAAAATGCTGAAAGATGGTTCTTCACATCTCTTGCATTTCTGCTTGAGAATAAAATCACCGACTGCCTCTGTTCAAGACTATCTTTTGAAGGATGTTGGTAAGCAGGAAAATAAAGTGTCTCTCTCCAAAGCAAAGGATAGACATGCTTACTGTCCATTATAAAAGATTCAGGTTCTATAATTCAAGGCTCCCCTACTTTGATGCAAGCTTATACAGGTTCAAGTGTCAGGGAGCCCTCTGTATCACTCTGTGAAAAGTGAGGCTCCGGAACAGGTGCGAATGCTGCTACCCTAGCTAATTATGTTGCTGCAATATTCTGTCCTTTGACTCTTCCGCAGGCACTAACAAAATCTGTTAGCCAGCAAGTAGAGTAAAACCTCAGGCCCTTTACAATTCTTGACATGTTTATGTCTGCTATGGTTTGAATTTTTTTGTCTCCTCCAAAACTCATGTTAAAACTTAATCCCTAATGACACACTGATGGAAGGTGAGGCCTAAAGATAGGTGTCTCCACCCTCATGAATGGATTAATGCAGCTATAAAAAGGGCTTGCAGGAGTGGGCTCACTCTATCTCACTCTCCTGCGATGTGAGGACACACAATGTTCCTCTCCTTTAGAGAATACAGCATTCAAGGCATCATCTTGGATGCAAAGAGACTGAGCCCAAGCCTCCCAGCACCTTAATCTTGGACTTTCCAGCCTCCAGAACTGTGAGAAATAAATTTCTGTTCTTTGTAAATTACCAAGTATGTGGTATTTTGTTATAGCAGCACAAACTGGACTAAGATGATGATAAATTGGGTTGATTTACTACTCAACATACTCATTAGTTAAATGGAGCAGAAGCATTAAAAAATATTACAGTTCAACTTAAGAGTTTTCAACTTTATGGCTGGGAGTGGTGGCTCACACCTGTAATCCCAACACTTTGGGAGGCTGAGGCAGGTGGATCACCTGAGGTCGAGAGTTTGAGACCAGCCTGACCAATATGGAGAAACTCCATCTCTACTAAAAATACAAAATTAGCCAAGTGTGGTGGTGCATGCCTGTAATCCTAGCTACTTGGGAGGCTGAGGCAGAAGAATCGCTTGAACCCTGGAGGCGGAGGTTACGATGAGCCGAGATGGCACCATTGCACTCTAGCCTGGGCAAGAAGAGCAAAACTCCATCTCAAAAAAAAAAAAAAAAAAAAAAAAAAAAAAAAAAAAAAAAGAGTTTTCTGCTTTACAGTGGTACAAAAGCAATATGAATTCAGTAATTTTCTTGCAACACTGGGTAGCTGCAGCAAGCCACAGTTCCAAGTCAGCTACACACATATTTTGACTCACAAGTTTTTTCAGGACATAACCCTATCATAAGTTGAGGAGTATCTATGCAGTGCTGTGTTGTATCAAACAGCACCTTGTGGCCTGAAAAAAATTTAAGATGTTCCTAAAACATCTAACATAACTGGACGTAATCAAAATACTTCAGTGCCAGATAGTATCTGGCAATACTTGCCAATATTTCTAACTTGGACCAGATACATCACTCTACTGAGACAGAAAAACTGAAAAAGTAAAATGGTCTAATAATTTGCCTGCCACATTTTTTTATATCATGCAAACATAAAATTGGACAATAAATGAGACA